TTTTAAACTTCATATATATATATATATATATATAATCAAAAATACTTTATTAAACCAGTATTTTAACAAGTTAGTAAATTATACGTCAATCCCAGAATAACCTAAAAAGAGCCTGACACACAAACAGCACATACAAGTACATTCCTGTGTTGCAGAACAAAAGCTTTAGTGTTTGTGTAATGAAAAAAAGTTTATTATAGTAACTCCCATTATTATGACAATATATATATATTCACAAAATTTTGAAAAATCAAAAAGTGTTTAATGTTCAAAATTTTGTAACTTTTTACCTTAATTCTATTAGAGGAAAAGTTAAATATATATACACGCCTATACAAAAATTTATTTTCTGGTAGAAAATCAAATACAACAAATTTAAGTTTATGAAACTGATTTGGTAAGTTCTGGACTAGTAATGAAATATTTTAAGAATTTACTTTACAAACATACAACCAAAACAGACTTGGATGTAACCTTCTTAACCTCAGTATTATTGGTATTTTCAACTTGAACAGTATCTTATAGAACACTTGGCTAAAGGGCCAGGCCAAACTTTTAACGTTTGACATTGCCATATCTAATTTAGAACTGCTAACCAGAGGAAGGGCAACCAGTTAGGTCAGAAGTATACACCATATAATGTGCAGGTACTCTCAAACAAACAGTAGAACTGACTGTCACAAGTTGAAAGACAGAGTGTATTGTGTTTGGTAGAATATCTTGGCTCAAACCTTTAGATCCTTAACCTGGTTAGCTAACCACTGGGCCATAACTTGCTTGTTAATCTTAGAATAAAGCAATTATGCCTTTCTTTCTTGATTCATCTTTACATGATTTCTTTTATAAATATCTTACATATGTTGACATTAGATGAAGGAATAATTACAACCAATGTACTCAAGTGTATTGCATGATTTATTAAAGATTATTCATAGAGGTACAGTTTAAATGTCCAAAATATTTCATATCATACCTTTAAAACTTAGTGCTAAAACTAAATCAAATTGCATTATACAACTTGTTTACCAATTTTCAGCCCAGCATCTCAGGTGTTTTATGAAGGCAAAAGACATCAATAAGTTTTAAGTATTCTGTCTGATCTCTCCTCTGAAATCACCTAGAAAATTAGACTATAACTGAAATGCTCAGAATTAAAATTTTGTTTTTACATATGTTAACATTTGTTTTGATAAAGGTATAAAAAAAAATATAATTTATATCTAATTTCACTTATAGTGCTCTGAGAAGGAAAGAGTTAGCCCACTAGCTGACTGATTTATTAATGTTAGGCTGTAACAAACAACAAAATAAAGTTAATATTCTAAACATTTCTAAACTTGTATTAATTCTGAACTTACAGTAATTGTTTCTACTGTTCTTGTTTTGCTAGAAACTGTTGAGGAGCTGACAATTTCTCCTTCTCCTCCTCCATAAGGGGTACTAATAACTGTAGCAGAAGTGACTGATGGATAGTTGCTGGTAGGAAGCTGCTCTACAGGATAGCTCACTTTCCTGGTTTCTGTGGCAACAACAGGAACATTTTTTGTGCTTTTTTGTGCACTACCCAGTGCATTAGGGTCATACTTTACTGTCTCAGTTTTGACAATGGCTGGCTGCATAATATAATGAGAAAAAAAAAGATATCAAAAGCATTTTGTATGTATACTAAAAGCAAGAAATTAAGTAAAACACAAACCTAAAGATATGATGATCATGCCACCACTTACTTAGACATCTTGAAGATATAATATCATCACTTACAGATAAAATATCCACACATTTTAAGAACTCAGTCCACTTTATAGAGATTATAAAAACAACTATGACATAGCAAACAGTTTTGATTTATCTAACCTACCCATCAATGTATCTACATCTGAAACAATACAAATGTTTCACCAACAGCTTGAAAATTATACAACATTCAAGGAGCACACCAAACTGATAAACTCTACGATAATAAAACTCATGCTGTATCAACACAATGTAATTTCAACATGAAGATAAATACTATAAAAAAACAAAAGGCCAGGCAATGGGCTCAATTCTATCTAAAGATGGACAACTCTTAATATTTGCCAAACAACTGTCAGGGTCATCAATTAATTACTCACACATGAGATTAATCTTTCTATTATTTACAGCTAGTTTTGTTGTTTCTTAAATCATTTATGAACTACCTTTTATTTAACTCTCTCAACACAGGCTTGGTCAATTTGACCAACCATGTGACCTCTTTGTACTCATTTAAAGTCTTTATAGATTTAATACTTCTAATTTTCAATACAGTGTGTATATCTTCACAAACTTTGACAGTCTTTCAATTAATATTATCAGTATTTCACATACAAAAAATCATATTTTTAAATGAAGTATTTTTAATAAAATAAAGATCTGTCCATGAATATATTGAGTATTTGCTTTGAATAGTCCCTGTGCAAAGTAATTTTCATGTGAAATTAAAAATACTTTTATTCATCTCAAATTTCCTTTGTGTAATCCCTAAAAGTACCTAAATAATTTCAAACGTTTTTTTTCAGTAAAACTTTATACCAACCAAAAAGAAATAAAATAAAAAGAAATAAAAAAACCGAAATAAACCCAAATTGCCCTTTTTTCTTTCTAGAGTGACTTCAAATTGTAACATGAAACTAGACTCATTTATCCTAAGTAGTTCTAAGTTTATAACAGTATACATCTATTTGTAATTAAATTCTATTGTTTTATTGCCCTTTGAACAGTGTCTAACTACTATATATGCCATTATAATTTGTAAATCACACAGGGAATGTGCAGCTCATGTTTCGCTAATGAATTAATTACCAACGAGTTGCTCGCTTACTGTGTGCCTTGTGAAACATTTTTATTATAATATTATTATTATTTCTTTTACCTAATCGAATCTTTAACCTAAAAGGATCCCTATTGTTACATTTTAGTACTTTTATAATTATACATAAAGAATAAACATGAAAAACAAGAAATAAAGTACTTAACCAATCCTCTTTTTTCTTGCTGTTCATTGTTAACTCTCTTCGACTTTAATTTTTTTACACTGATGATAGTAATGCACTTAATATTTATTTAATTAAATAATGCACCAAAGAATATAGACTAATAACATACATAAAGTAGACAAATTCCCTTATTTCTCAAAATTTTTCTGGCTTTCTAACAATGTGACAAGAATCGTTACAAATTCATCCAAGCTAGTCGCTAACTTTCTCATTTGACCAATGTTGATACTCTGAGTGAAATTGACATTTAACCCTTCAGAACATAAGGTTATACAATATGCGTGGCAGGAGGGTTCTGATTTTCTATTCGATAGCTCTGTAACCAAACAAAATAGAAGACTATAAAAATTATGGTTTGTCTGAGCAATGACGATTTTATAGACAGTAATTAATGCTTAATTTTGTACTTTTTCGAGGGGTGGTGGATAAAATAGGGAAGATGACATGCTAAGACAAAATGTGTCATTTGGGATTTTTTTAAATATTGCCTTGTAGAATGAAGAATTTAAAACTTATATACTATTAAAATATGGATTATTAGCTATGATTTTATGCTATTCTAGTTGGTATAATATAAGCAAAATGTAGTTTCATAAAATTTTGAATGTAAGACACTAAAACCTCGAGTCATGCGCAGTAAAGAATACCCATAGTGATAGGGTTAATATGACATACATCTTTTGCCATTCATTATTTGAGCATTTTGTAAAAAGAATATGTTTAGATAAAACTTTTGACACAAAATTTTTTCAAAGTTCAACTGAGCATTTCCCCACTTTGTGAATCAATAATGTCAAGATACCATGAGGTCATGATTTTGTTTGTTTTTAAAATATGCATTAGTCCCACACTGATCTTTTATAAATCAATTTATGAAAACATATTTCAGTTTCACTGATAATGGTAATAATATTTCTATTTAAAACATAACACAAATGCAATTAGAAATAATTAATTATCCAGTTAGCCAATTTATCTATGAGCATTGTTTGAATAGGACAAATATAAAAATAATATTCAATAAATAAGGATATGAGTCATCAGAATATGTTTTCTCATTGAAGAAAATTTCTGTTGTTTTCAATCAGATACTATTTATCAAACACTTTCAACAATGAAAAGAACATTTCAAAAATCTAAAAATACATTTCCAGCTCTGTCATTTGTTCTTAAACGACTGCTCAAATCACTTTATTTACTCTACTATGATGTAAAAAGTCTAACTTTTACTCTATCCAGTCATATTTGAACTTGGTGACAGCCAAGGCCTGTAAAAAACTAGACAGAATTGCTTGAAAATCAAACATGGATAATATTTCTTAAGTGGTGATAGTTTCTGGGCAAAAATAAAGCTTTTCTTTAGCATGGGTATATCAAAAAAATATTTAAAACTGATAAATTTGCTGTTTACAAGAAAAACTCACAGCTGTACTGAAATGAAAATTTGAATATTTTTTCATCTTTCATTAAGAATTACACTATATAAATATTAGATAATAACAGAGTATTGATTCTATAATACTTTTGAGTTAATATTGTTGAAACACAGTCAGAATTAACATATCAAACTGAGCTAAAAATAAGTGGCTCAAAAAATTCATTTGGTAAAAGTGGTGGGGAAAAAATGAAAAGCTAGAGGAAACCTTGTCTTCAAGTTCAATAACATAGTTATTTTTTTAAATCCTAAGCAACTGTACATAAAGATGTATCTCACACACACAATGTAGTTCTAAACCTGTAACAAGATGAAAATACAATTAATAGTGTTCCACATGTTTCTCCCTCTAAACTTACACAAAAAACTATACTAAAACTACTAGATTTTTGTTGATAAATAAGCAAAATTTCATGACACTTATAACTAAGAAAAATACTAAGTATAACTGTGACTAGAGAGATCACTAGTTAACATTTTATATGAACACAGCTGTATTGAGGTGATCAACCATGTGGTGGTAAACAGAACATAGGTATAAAATGATAAAATCAGTCATTATTTTGTAAACAACAATATTGTAATGCAAGATGAATAACAAACAATTTACTATTTTGAATCAGCAAACTGCTGATTCCACAGATCTGTACCCTCATTACATTTTAGTTTTTGTAAATTAAGCCAAAAAAATTAAGTATGTGTTTGTGATAACAATGCAAGGAAAACTTAGGGTAGATAAGAAGATAGAATTTTTTATGTTATTATTACTATCAAACATTAGTATAATGCACTGTAACAGGTCATTACTAAAACATACATTCTATTAAATCAGAAATTAAGTTACTTTCAGTTTTTTTGTTTCATATCTGTTCTTTTAGCAAATATGCACTGTTTTTTCTCCTCCTAATATAGCATATTTATTTTCCACAGAGCCTATGAATTACTGGCTGAAGTCCTTGTTTCTAATACACAGTTGACCAAATACTTTAAATTAAAATATACTGGGGAACTTGTCACAGCAGGCTAAGTCTTACCACTGAGTCACTGGGGTGGGAAGGATTATTAATTGTAGTTGATTTATATCTACCTCTACAAAGTTATTTCTTGGTAAGATTTAATAGTTATTTATAGAATTATTTTTAGTAATTATCAAATACAAATTGACAAATAGTATAATTTTACTAAAATAAACTAGAAAAATAAAGTTAATAACAATAA